CCTATTGGCCAACAGTGCTTTATTCATTAACCAGTATGAGAAACATATTTACAGGATGACATCTCCCATCATATGGGCAACACAAATTGAACTTGGTACTTTTTCATTTCTTCTCCTTCTCCTCCCCCCCTCAGTGGGAGGAGTTCACAAGGGTGGGAGGGTGGCCCTGGGAGAACTGGAAGTGGGTGTGGTTAAGTGTTACAGCTCTGAAGGAAAAGGTACCCTGGCAATTGGGAGGCAAGGAATGCCACAAAGTCACATGGCACAGCAAACTTCACAGAAGAGATTTATTGAAAGGGAAAAACCAGGAGGATGGCTGCCTCTCCTCAGGTGGGGAGCAGCAGGGAACTGAGCAGAAGGCAGGATTTATATAGGGTTTCTTTTCTGGGGGGAACATTCCAGGGTGGCCTAGGATGGGTGGGATTCTATTTCTTGGCCCTAGTCTTGAGGTCTTGGGCTTGGGGTCAAGTCAGGGTCAGGGTGTTCTTTTCCATGCTCATTTACCCCACAGGGGCATTGTGTGAAATTCCCAAATAATCAGTAAGAATGTTACATTGAAGGAGAGAGAGAGAGAGAGAGAGAGAGAGAGGGAGGGACAGAGGAAAAGAGGGAAGGAGGGAGGGAGGGAGAGAGAGAGAGAAAGTGGAGTGTTTTCAAACCTGTGAGTATACAAGCTGCTTTTGAATTTTTTGTGGATTTGCTTGTGAAATGGCCCAGTAGTGGGCACGAAGTAGGTGAGGTTTATCTGAAATAAGACAAGTCACACTGATCATTGCCACAGGTAGACAGTGAGTGCACGGACATTCATCGTACTATACATAACAATTTATAGCAACTTACGAAGTTTTTTAAAAGAGTACTTAGGGGATCTACAGTGATTTCTCAGTGGTTAAGAATGCTTGCTGCATTAATAGGCTTGGAATACTTGTAATTTCAGCTCTGGGGATCTGGCACCCTCTTCTGGCCTCAGAGGTTACTCACACTCATGTGCATGGTAGTGCATGTGCGTGTGCGCGCACGCACGCGTACACACACACACACACACACACACACAGATAAATATAAAATAAAAAATACTGTTGTGTTTGAAAAATCACCTTGAGTTCTGATCTGCTTCAGCCTACCACTGAATTTATTATTAGTGTCTCAGTCATCACTATAATGAGCTGTATAAACACAAGCCAGAAGTAGATTGACTGACTAGAAGGTCTGATTCAGTAATGAATCTGGGTTGCTAAGGGAATCCTTTTAAGAATCCCAGTGATTTGACAGGAATAAATGAATATATATGTAACAACAGCCTGACTCTGGTGTCTCAGAAAAGTCCATTTTTCTTTTGTACTTTCTACCTCTAGTGTCCACCCATCTTGGGTCTCCCTTTATATATATTTATATATACTACTGTACAGAGAAATCTTTAGATTCTTTTACAGTATCTTGTTGTTAGGCCTTTACATTTATACAATTTCAGATACATTTTCCCACATCAAATACCTCAGTATTTTCTGGTACTAGCATGGTATAACCTTGAAGGTACTCGGGGGAAATGTTTGAAGAAATAGGACCATATGTCATCCTTCAGGAGGTGCCACTTTAATTTACACTTTTCATGAGATCTCTCCCATCACTAAGATTCTATTATTTTATGATATAACCAGTTCTAGAAGCTTGCTTCTCTCAGCTGAAACACTAAGGCGTGGGGCATGAAACCTGTAGAACATAAGAGGTAAGCTTTGTGAATCTCAACAGAGGCCTGGCTGGGGGGGAAGAGGTTCGGTGCTCTTGGGCGATGCTGCACAAGTGTGGGGGACATCTAGGCAAAGTGACAGGATTCTGAGCCAGGGAGACAGGCATCAGCAGAATGCTTGTCACACGTGAGGGCCTGCGGTCGATGTTAATAACCACCTAAAAAGCCAGGTGTGGTGTGTATGCTCATAATCTCAGTACTGGTAGAAATAGGAGGATCTCTGGGGCGTGCAGGCCAGCTAGTCTAGCCACATCCAAAAGCTCCAGTTCCCAGTGAGACACCTGTCTCAAAAAGCAAGGTGGATGGCTCTGGAGAATCGACACCCAAGGTTAAGCTCTGGACTCTACCGGCATTTTGGTAGGTAGCCACATGATAGTAAATGTTTTACATCTGGCTTTCAAGAGAAAGACCTAAGAGGGAGTACTTGCTTATTTTCTTAGTTAGTAAAGAGTCTTGTCCTGGCCCAGGTATCAACACAAGTGTGAAAGCACAAATTGGTCCTCATAGCTGGGATGAGCAGACGTTAATCTTCACTAAGTGTTCTTGAACTTCTGGCTACAACTCACTAGTTACTAGTGGTCTTGCCAACGTTTTAGTGGATTATAAATGGCATTTTTAACTCTTTGGGTTTTTGTTTGCTTTTTGAGAAAGAATTTCTCTGTGTAGCCCTGGTTGTCCTAGAATTCATTCTGTAGACCAGGCTGGCCTCAAACTCAGAGATCTGCCTGCTTCTGCCTCCTGAGTGCTGGGATTAAAGGTGTGTGCCACCACCTCCTGGCTGCATTTTTAATCTTAAAAATATTTTTATTTTGTATGTTTGACTACACATATGTCTGTGCACCATGTGTGTACACAAATAGCATTTTTTAAATGGACAAATCAATCTCAGAATGAGTTTGTGAAAACATGTTTTTTTTTCATTGAAACATAAGAAGTCACAGTGGAAACAGTTCTCAGTGTGGTTCGTGGTTACAAAGTCTAAAAGCTGTCACTGTTGTATTATCTCTTAAGATAAAAACAAAACTGAATGCACACATAATTTTAGTACTTGGGAGAATGAAGCAGGAGGAATGAGGAGTTCAAAGTTAATCTGAACTACATAGAACCACAGCATCTCAAAAATACCCACCCTTCAAAAATGAAAATCTTTAAAAAAAAAAACAATTTGTGTGTATAATTGTATTTGTGTGTATTGTGTGTCACACACCCACACACGAGTGGAGGAAGCTGCAGAGGCCAGAAGTGAGTACCATTCTTTGGACCTAGCATTGCAACTGATTGTGAACTGCAATTGTAGGTGCTGAGAACCAGATTCAGGTCTTCTGCAAGCACCATGTATATTCTAAACTTCTGAGGCATCTCTCCAGCCCCAGTGAACACTGTTCTTTACCCTTCCATTCTGTTGCTATGGCTGTTTCTCAGTTCTTCCCAGCAGAGTGCTTTTCAATGTTTAAGGCTACTATTTCCACCATTTCTTAACCTCTCATTTCTTCACTACTTTAAAGTCAGATCCCAGTGACCTCTGCTGCTATGCCCATTGATCCTGTTTGTGTTGTTTGACCCCTCAGAGAATTTAGCACACCTGTATGCTCTCGTTTGTGTGCTTGTAGTACAGCGCCACTTACATTCTCTCTTCCTGGAATTTTCTCCTCAGGGCTCTAGCCAAGGCTATTTTCTCCTATCTGCTCTCCTGGGGGACCTCATTCCCATGACCTCATCTCACATTCCACTGCCAGCCTCAGCTCCATGAGCATTTTTGCACTAGCCATTCCCATAACTTGAAATGCATCCAGCATTGAGGTAAATTTATCTTAACTTCATTTAGCCTTGTGAAGAAGTTGTAGACTAAAGCAAAACTGGATACTCGATTGCTCTTTACTCACCAATAATGTAGCAGTCCATCCAATGATTAGGGACGTGTTTCTTTAGAGGATTTATTCAAGGTATTAGGAATGTGTATGGCAAAATCCCTTTCTCAAATCAAAACTTGAAATACAGTTACAACTACAATGCTAAGGCATAAATCCAGTTATTCAAGTAGAATCTTGAGGAGTGAATCAAATTTAGAAAAGGGACAAGAGGAAGAAAGAGGAAAAAATAACAGTGAATCGGAACACGAGGCTTGAAATGAATTCAAGTTCAAAACAAAATAAAATGCACAACCAGAGGGGGGGAAAACCCACAAATGGCCATGTCAACATGTCTTTCAAAAACAAACACCGGCAAAAGTTAAGAACAAAACTTTGAACTCTTTAGTACACCAAAACTAGGCAGCTGCTCAAAGTATACTTTTATTTGTATTCTTGTTTGTACAAAGCAGGCCAAACTGTCAGCAGTGCAGGCCCCTGACTGTGAAATTGCTTATTGACTATCTACTCTGCTCAGATTCGAGCACCAAATCGTTCCACTTAGCAAAACCCAGCACAGAATAATTGGCGAGTCCCACTGTCGGCGCATCCAGACCACTGCTCACAGATTGGGATTTCCTGCGGGGGCAATACTGAACCGATTTCTTCTACACCTAGGGCGAGTAGCAGGCAAAAAGGAGAGGCTGCTAAATACAATTGGCTCGTAGCTTTGCTCGTCTCTGGCCCAAGGCTGCAAGGGACAAAGAAGCGGGAGGGCCCTGGCCCCAAACACATCTGGCCACGATTACTCTTTAAATGCGTTTTTATCACCCTTAAGATATAGTGTGTGTCCGAGGGTGACCCAGAATTCCTTAAATTCCCCCAATAAGATCCCCAGGATGACCTTAAATTTATGATCCTCCTGCCTCTACCTCGAAAGGGCTGGGATTCGAGGCAATACACCCTGATCAGTTAGTGTAGAGTTGGTTAGAAATGAACCTGGAGGCTTCCAGCACGATAGGTAAACAAGCTCAGCCACCCACCTCCCGCAGCAATCCAGTGGTCTGCGTGGGAGGCAGGAAGAACCCATCGCCCTGCCTCGCAGCACTCGGATGCCCCGCCCCTGCCGTCGTGCACACGGAAACGGCCGCGGACTAACCCCGCCCGCAGCCTGTAGCCGTGTGGGGAACCCGGACGGTGTCCTGCAGGGGACACGTCAGAGCGCAGCGCCTTCTAGCACCGCACTGGGGTGAGTTCGGACGACGCCGGACTCAAGAGTCTTCGGGTTGTCACGGTCTCCAGATAGGAATTCGAAGGGTGGTTCGAGTGTGGACACGCCGTCCCGCCGTCCCCATCCGACGCGCGCACTGGGCTCCGGGCACCGGGAGGTGGTAGTGGGTTGATGCTTGTAGGCTTGTCCTCCGACTGGAGTGTCGGGACAGCGCTGCCAGCCGCGGGTGAGACCTCTCCTTTCTGCGCCTCCCCAGTTGTGGTCTCCATCCCCAGCAGGGGAAAGGGCAAGAGTCACCTGGATTCCCAAGAATGACAGGCCCCGGGGCAGTTGATTGACAGCTCTGCCACTCTGTGATCCCAGACATGCACTTTAGGATGCTGAGTCATTCGACCCCAATGTTGAACGTGGGGAAAACGCAAGGTCTCTAGGTTTGGGGCTCATGGTAAAATCTAAAGCGATGACTTCTTTTGGCTGCAATGGTGAGACTTGCCTAGAGACTTCGGGGAATAGTTATTTAATGCCAGCCTGTGTCATCTGGATCTCTCTCTGGACAAGATATCAATTATGGATGTGGTGATGGCAATTCTTGTCTCCTTTTTGCTCTGGTTCCTGCTTCCTGAATTGCACGGGACGAACTAAAGGTTCGGAGGTTTTGAATAAATTGATAGTCAATGACAAATACTAGGTAGGGGCCCAAGTTTGTCTTTTAGGGTGTAACCAAGAAAGATCCAATTTTCTTTTTTTTTTTCCCAGCAAAAACTGACAGAGTCGGTGAGTGCATGGTGTCATACAGCCTGACAGAACTGTAGGAAGTAAACTGCGGAAAACTCTAGTTTCGTTTTTCTGGCTTGGTTCTGGTTTGAGTCATCAGCCCTAGAGGGAGTAAAATGTATTACTGGGAAAGGAGTACTGGAGGTATCTTTAAGAACCAGGTTGATGCAGAACATTTTATGTAGTATTCAGAGGAGTGGCTAGACCTCCCCACCCCACCTCCAACTTACTTAATTTGGCTAACTGAAGAAGAACAATCTTTACTAGTAATAATAGCTAACACATACTGAGATATTTTCCACTATTTAAGCTTGTTTAATCCTCACAGCAGTCCTATGATGTGATTCTTGCTTGTTCTACAAACAGGAAAAGTTAAATGACTATTCTCATAGTTTCATTGGACTGTTTGCATAGTACTTGCCATTGTTATAGTTTAGGGTTTTGCAGTGTTTTTGCGTTAGGGATTGAACCCAGGACCTTGAGCATATTAGACAACCCCTAAGTCCTTTCCCCAACTGTGTGTGTGTGTGTGTGTGTGTGTGTGTGTGTGTGTGTGTGTGTGTGTTGAGGATTGAACCCAAGGTTCTAGGCATACTAAGCACAATGTAAATGACCACAGATGTCTGTAGAGACACGAAGCTCTCTGTGAGTTTGAGGCCAGCCCCGTCTACAGAGTGAGTTCCAGGACAGTCTGTACAGAGAAACCTTGTCTCAAACCTCCATTCCCCCACCCCCATGAAAAAAAGAAAAAGAATGTAGGGTAGGTCTTTGGTTATACTAACATCCTATTATTTGGTAGCTATTGGTAAAGTAATAGGATTTGTATATGAAAGTCTGATGTGTAGAAAAATTATGCATGCTTGCTTTTCTATTTTGTTTTCACACAGGGCAAGTTTTCAATTTGAGTATTCTTTAAATGAAACATTCATAAAGCCTGATATAAAGAAGACAGACTTCAATCAACAATATCAATAAAAAGTTGGAAAAGAAAGATGTTGTCCTTAAACAACCTGCAAAATATCATCTATAACCCGGTAATACATGTTTGGCAATTTTTTTTTTTTTTTTGCCTATAGTAAGAGTGACCAAAAATGCACTCGTTATTATCCATTGGGGGCCAGACATGAACACAATTCAGTTAGTTAGCATGTATGACATTTCCCTGGGAGATTGACACTGTGATGGGTACTGGCTGAAAAGTAGATGGGACTCTTGTTTTCAGGTGAGTGAACAATGACAGTACAGGGCAATGAGAAATGTGGGACAGGTAATGTAAGGGCCCTGGGAGGTGGCATGTCTCAGACCAAAAGCATAACTTTTAAAGGAAAATGGATTTCTTATTCTACATAGTTTTTTCCTTCTTGCTTTTTTATGTTTTTATTGGCTGTGTACATGGTATGTGTGCATGTATATACCTTGATGCCAGAACACACGCATGAAGGGAAGGTCCAGGAACAACTTTTGGGAAATTCTATCCTACCATTTGGTTCACAGAGTTGAACTGAGGTAGTCAGATCTGGCAGCAGGCACCTTGACTGGCTGAGTTGTCCTACTGGCTTGCTTGCTATTCCCTTCTTTCTCATCTCTCTATCTCTAGCTACCATCTGTCTGTTCTGTCTATGCTGTGGAATAATCCTTCTGAATGCTGTGAATTTGTATTCCTCTCATTGGCTGATAATAAAGCTAAATTGGCGTATAGCCAGATAGAATGAGGCTAGATGGGAAAGCCAAACAGGGATATAGGGAGAAAGTGGGGCAGAGTTGGGAGAGATGCAAGCCAGCCACCAGAGGAACAAGACATGCTAGAGAAGAGGTAAAGCCACTAAGCCATGTGTCAAATGTTGATTAATAGAGATGGTATAACAATCCTGAACTTTAGGCTGAATATTTTGTAATTAACATAAGTTTTTGTGTGATTAATTGGGACCAGACAGCTGGCAGCTGGGACAAAAGAAAAGCTCCACCTCTGTTTACATATCATCTATCTATCTATCTATCTATCTATCTATCTATCTGTCATCCATCTATCTATCATCTATCTGTCATGTATCATCTATCTATCATCTATATCATTCACCTATCTATCCTCTATCATTCATCTATCTATCATCTATAATCTATATATCATCTATCTGTCTGTCTATCTATGTATGGGATAGAACCTATGGCTTCATGATTTGGGTGTATTCTACCACTAAGCCACATTTCCACCCTTCCACTGTTCATTTGTTAGGTTTTTTGTTTATTTTGAGATAAGGCATTGCTGTTCAGTCTGAGATCAAACTTGAACTCCTGCCTCAGCCTTAGTACTGGGATTATTTATAGACTGGTGTGTTCTGCCACACCTGGATTTTTGTCATTGCTTTTAAATGAGAACTGTCCACAAGAAGTTAATGTTCAGGCTTCCCCTCTGTTTTTCCAATACTGCTTGGTAGTGGACACTGTAGGAGGGGAAATATCAGTGGTGAGAGGCCCATACAAAGCATGTTGTCCAGTTCAGGCTGCTGCTAAGAGTCCCTGACTAATTGCTGAAAAATGCACTCCACATCATGGTCCTTTCAGAAACCTGTGAAGTGCCTGCTTTGATTTTCTGTGCTTGTGAGATAGATACACCTGATTTCTTCTTACCACTGCAGTGTGAACAGAGGCCTGACATAGGGCCATGGTTTTTTTGGTTACCTCCAAGGAGACTCTTGGGCAGTGGAAATGGCAAAAGTCACTGAAGTAAGGTGCCAAGTCAGTTGTGTGTTTGTGTTGAGGACATAGTAGCTGTAATTTTTCTCCCTAATCTTCATAGAGTCATAGGGAAAGAAAGGTTTAGCATCACACCAAACAAACTGAGTTTTGGGGAGAAATAGCCTTACGTGGCAAAGGGTTCAAAAGGGAAGGTCTACAAAATTTGACACTAGTGACTTCAAGTGACTTTATGTATGTTATAGTTAAAAATATTTCAAGGTTGTGGACTGGAAATTAACAAGACCGGGCTTCTGTGCATGTGTTAGTGTGTATGTGTCTGAGCATGTGTATGAGAGAGTGCATGTGTGTATGTGTACATGGTAAGTGTATGTGTTTGTAAGTGTATGTGCATATGATTTTTTTTTCTGTACATGGTGTGATGAAGTCAGGAACTGTTACCTTTTCATTTTGACCTCGTGAATGTTTTAGTGTTCTTAGTCCAGACTGGTGCAAGCTCTGTCCACATTAAAACAAACACTTCTTGGGAAAAAACAAAGTACACTTTGTGGTGGTGCCTTTTTTCCTATTTGGCTTATTTCTTTCATTAGTTTCACTGAAAGAATCTGAAGAATTAAAAGCTAGACTCACTCTTCTCCATTCAAATTGAGTAATATCTAAGATGTTGTCTTCATTCACACCAGAAATGCTGTCACATGGAATCTGTGGGATTTTCATCATTGTCCCATAGATTCTGTAGTTGTTGCTCTTGGTACTCTTGTATTTGTTTTGTGAGATGAGAGCTGGCATCTCACCTTGTAGCCCAGGCTGTCTCCATCATACATCAGTCTTTTGCCTCAGCTTACCAGCTGCTGAGATTGCAAGTTGAGCCACCACACCTGGCTTGTAGAGAGCTGAAGGCAAGAAGTTAGTAAACATGTGTCTGGCTGGCTGGTACTCCTCATTCATAAACCACTCATCGCCATTAACCCCAGCTGGAGCTGAAGAATGGCTCCTTCTAAAAGCAGGTCCCTAAGGCTACACCCATTGTGCTGAGTCACCAGCACAGGCTTATGATCATAGCTGTTGAGTTGTTGCGGCCAAAGGGCAGGGAGCAGCTCTGCCAGAGGAGAGGCACAGGGGCAGAGCCGGTACATGCCCCCAGCCTCTGAGATCCTCCACGTGGACTCGTCTGGTGGGGAGGCTCTGAAGACTTGGGGATTGTATCCAGTGCTGGTCACATGGGCACTCACACACATGATTACTGCAGACACCCAGATGAAAGCTACAGGTGTCTTGTTGTTGAGGGCAATAAGTGTTTTCTTGGAAACTCAAGTGTAGGCCCCAGTCAGGGGCCAGCATTTCAAGGGCAGAGCTCTGCTTCACTCTCAGTTCTTAATCTACTACAGTATCTCATTCATCATCTCTACTCAGCCTTTAAAATACAGGTTGTGAGCTGGGCATAGTGCCTACCAGCAGTCAGTGCTTGGGATGCAGAGAGGCTGGAGAGTCAGAAGTTCAAGGCCATCTGTTACTAGCCTCCACTGTTCACTGAGTTTAGTTATAATCGCCTTGTAACTGAATTTGTTTATGAAAATACATTTGTCAAACTTCTTTCCCGTAGACAATCCCCTATGTTGGCACTATTTCTGAGCAGCTGAAGCCTGGCTCTTTGATTGTAATCCGTGGACATGTTCCTAATGATGTGGACAGGTAAGCTCATTGTGTCCTGTGGAAATCCCCCAGTGACTATGGAGAGGCCACTTTAATGCTTTGAGTCTTGCTGTTTCACTAGCAGCCCTGCTGGGGTGTGAGGAGGATGAGTAACGGGGTGAAGGTTACCGCTGTTCCTTGTTTTGAGACAGGGTCTCTACATAGTCCTGGCTGTCCTCAAACTCACAGAGATCTGCCTGCCTCTGCCTCCTGCGTGCTAGGGTTAAAGGCATGTGCCACCATGCCCAACTGGTTACTGGAATTTTTTTATATCATTGCTGTAAGTCTGGTTTCAATATAAACAGATGCACTGATAGAAAAGAGGGTTGTTCTATAACAGGACTGTCACAGTGTCTCTCAAGACAGTCTCGGTGGCTTTGCTGAGTGTCTGCTTTGGGTATAAACGCAGGGTGTGTTGGTTTCTTGTTACTGAGAAAAGCAGCAAAAGGAAGAAAGGTTCACTTTAGCTCATGATTTGAGGGTACCATCCATCCCAGTGGAGAATAAGAACAACTGTTCCATGGTGGCAGGATCTTAAGGCAGCTGATCACATTTGTCCCTAGTCAGGAAGGTGACACTCAGCTCACTGTCTCCTTTTTTCTTTTGTATTCAGTCAGGGACTCTTGTCTGCTACCCATGTTCAGGATGGGTCTTCCCTCCTCAGTCACATCTTTCTGGAAAATGCTCTTACAGACACACCAAGTGCAGTGTCTCCTAGGTGACCCAAAATGCAGTTAGGTAGACAAGAGTAACCATCGTGTCAGAGTTGACCTCAGCTCTGAGTGGCTGACACTGTTGATTTAAATGTGTGGAGAAGATCTCACAGAGATCCCTGAGCTTTGTGGTCATTTTGACCCATCAGCTTGTGACTCGCGTACCCCTGGGGGCAGAATCAGGAACCTCAGCTAAAATGCACCCTCACTTTCATGCTTTCAAAGGTGTATGTGCAGCAGGGTTTGGGGCATGGAGTGGGAGTGGATGATGATCAGGTGCTACTCGCTCTGAACACACTCCTCTGGGCCAGGAGTCTCCCTGGAACTTACCTTCTGTTCATCAGCAGACTTGGCCACACAGACAGGCCAGGATCCAGGGCAGTCCCGAAAGGAAAGGTCTTATTCTGGGCTCCTATATCTCAGCTCAGACTGGGCTGTGTTACCGAGGAAGGAGGAAGGGAAGATGGGCGGGCTGCCTGTAGGTGCTGTGGATGCAGGAAGGGGTGCTGGGGGCACTGTACTTCCCCATGGCTCACCTTTATAGGCCCATGTGTTTCTTCTCTGCCCTTGTCCAGATTCCAGGTGGATCTGCAGCACGGCAACAGCCTGAAGCCGAGGGCTGATGTGGCCTTCCACTTTAACCCTCGCTTCAAAAGGTCCAACTGCATTGTTTGTAACACGCTGACAAATGAGAAATGGGGCTGGGAGGAGATCACCTACGACATGCCCTTCCGGAAAGAAAAGTCCTTTGAGATAGTGATCATGGTGTTGAAGAACAAATTCCAGGTAGGTGCTAAGAGAGCCAGGGAGAGTGCGAGTGAGTGAGCTTGAGCCATCTCCGAGGAGACTGGAGGCATCAGATTTGTCATTCCCTGTCCAAATGGAAACACAGGTCCAGAACAGATACTCTTTCTTAGGTCTTCTTTCTTAGGTCTTCTTTCTTCTAGGAGGGCTAAGTTCTGGATCCACACAGCATCATGTTACAGTTAGGGGTGTGGATCACAAAAACCCTTACCTAAGGTGTGGGAAAACCTGCACGAGCAGATTGTTGGTGGCCAGGATGTACCTGAAAGGGCAGGCCTGGATCACAGCCAGATACTGCTGTAGGGCTCTGGAGGTCTTGTGAACTCAACCACTAATTTCCTGAGCTGCACTTTGACTCCAGAGATTCCTTTGAGTGCCAGCCCTGAAACCCACAGAGGGCTTGTAAACAAGGGATCCTCCAGCTCCGGGAGTGTGTGCACATCTTGGTCTAGGTACCTGTGGGACATTGCTCTCTGGAGGCTCCTGCACTCCTCAGTTTGGAGCTCTCCCCTTCAGTCTTGGCCATATAGCTGTACCCACCATGTTTCCCTGGGCTTGCTGTATGTGGGGATTTCTAAAGCTCCTTGAGAGGCCCTACTGTAGACCCTACTGTGGCCCTATTGTGGGCTGTTTATGTCTCCCCCACTAGACTTTGACACACCACCTGGCATTAGGAGGCACTCACAGAGGGCACTTTACCATTCTACACAACTTTAGCTAGCCCATTGAGTAAGCTTTTTACAATGTAGAGATAAGAAATCTTAGATACATCAGAGAGCTCACTGTGTGCTTTTGTTGTTGTTTTTGTTTGTTTTGTTGTTGATGCAGGGCTTCCCTGGGTAATAGCTCTGGCTGTCCTAGAACTCACTCTGTAGACCAGGCTGGCCTCAAACTCACAGAGATCCACCTGCCTCTGCCTCCTGAATGCTGGGATAAAAGGCATGCGCCACCATGCCTGGGGGCAGTGTGCATTCACTTAGTGAAGTCAGCACATACTTGTGCCTCCTATACAGGTGGGCTCTGTCAGAGTGTGGCCCTCAAAGAGGGTTGGGGTAGTAGTTTGGCAGAGCTAACCTGTCTTCTAGGTTTTCAGACCTCATGTGTGATCCTTGGGGCCCTGAGCATCTCCTGGGCACACTCACAGATAGACATATATTCACAAATGTATATGCCTGCAGAGATGACCCAGGCACTTAATCAGACAAGACTCAAGAAGTTCAGGATTCCTGCTAGTGTGGTGGCAGCTGCTTTTAGCCACAGTGTAAGTAGAGATCTGTGGGAAAATAAACCTAAGGAGGCATTCATTCATTCACTTATTTTTGTGGTGCTGGAGATGAAGTCTATGTGGGGCAAAGATTCTACTAGCACAGCTCCACTCCTGCCCTATATGGAGACATTTGTATTTGGATGAGGTTGACCTGTTCACATGCTCTGAGGGCACTGCCTTCTGTGTCTGCAGGTGGCTGTGAATGGAAAGCATACTCTGCTGTATGCCCACAGGATGAGCCCAGAGAAGATAGACACACTGGGCATCTATGGCAAAGTGAATATTCACTCCATTGGGTTCAGCTTCAGCTCGGTAAGTGCCCTTCCACACATACCTGGGGGCTGTGGGGAAAGCGTTTTTCACATTCAGTCAGACCAAATGGTAGGATTTTTTTTTAAAATTTACATCTTCCATTTAGGTAAAAATAACATATATATTACAGACTACTTGGGGCCTGCTCACTTAACCAGGCTTTTGTTATTTGTGGGACCTCAAATCTAGAGTGAGCTTGCAGAGTGGATCCCTTTTTAGCTGGTTAGTGTGTATTTCCTGTTACTGAGAGTGAATAATTATTTCTGTTAAGACCGTTTTCTAAGTATTGGAATTTAAGTTTCTTTGTCACTGATAGCTTGCTCCCAAGGATGTGGACAGTTCACATCTTGGCAGCTGTGCCAGCTGCTATGTGTTCATGATCCTGTAAGCATCAGATCCTGTTCTCACAAACTTGCCAGTTTCGGGTGGATCCCCAGTGTCCAATTGTATTTTTGAAAAATCATAATTCGCAGTACTTTTCCATGCTCAGTGTCACTGCTTTTTTTTAATTATTATGTTCACTATTTTAAAAAGATTCTGATGTTAAAGTTAATCTATGATCTTTTTGTAGGATTTACAGAGTATGGAAACATCTACTCTGGGACTGACACAGATAAGTAGAGAAAATGTAAATATTTGCTCTATGAACCAGCAGTTTAAAAATGTTCTTAGTTACCATCAGTGGAAGGAAGGCTTTATTGAAATTACTGTATTCACTCATGTGTGTGCAGGCACATGTATGTATGTGTGTGTACATGTATGTGGAGGCCAGAGGTCAACTCTGGAAGTCTTCATCAATTATTCTACATCTTTTTTTAAAAATTAGTTTTGCATGTATATGTGTGAAGTATATGCATGTGTATACATGTTCACACGTGTGTTGGCATGTGTGTGAAAGCCAGAAATAGACATTGGATCCCTTCCTTGGTTGCTCTCAGCATTTTGAGGCAGAATTTCTTAATTGAACCCAGAGCTTACCAATTCAGCTAGTGTAAGTAGCTAGCTGCTCCAGAGTTCCTGTCATGTGCTAGGATTACAGGCAGGCCTCCATGCTGGCCCAGCATTTACATGGGTGCTGAGGACTTAAACTCCAGCCCTCACGCTTGTTCTGCAAGTGCCTTCCTCTGGACCTCCCCACTGCTTCCACCTTATCTTTTTGAGACAGGCTTTCTCACTGAGCCTGGGACTGACCCACTGGCTAGACTGGCTGGTCAGCTTGCCCTAGAGATCCTCCTTTCTCTGCCTCTCCAATGCTGGGGTTGCAAGTGTGCAACTCCCATGCCTGGCTTTTGCATGTGTGCATAGCAAGCACCGTGCCACCTGCGCTATCTCCCCAGCTTCACAAAGTTTCTTATGTGAGGTCAGGACAGAAGCAGTCATTTAAGAACCAAGGAGCATATTGTCAGTTAAATGGCCACCACTCTGTGGTCATGTAAAAAGCACTTTGTCACCCTGACTTCTTAAGAGATAATGAAACAAAGCCGTAGTAAATCCCGAACACCAGGTCACTGCAGATGAACTCTGCCCCTTTGTGGCAACAAGAGCAGTTTTAAAATTGACACTTTACTGCTCTGAAGAAAGCAAGGCCTTACACCTGTGCACATGCTTACAGTTGGAATAACAATGTCAGTATTTGGAGGGCTCTTGGGGAGGATAGGTAAGATATGTTTGAAGTTCACATGTAAACCTTTGAACAACCATTAATTTGTGGATGCTAATGTATTCACATGAAGGACAACAGCCTTCACCCCAGTCCATGTTGCTCTTCCTAAGCCCCACAGCGCCTGTCAGGAAGCACAGCACCTGTGTCTCATACCGAGGCATAAGAAACTGATACATGCAGTCATCAGACTGCTCCTTGCAAGCCTGTCAGCCTCACTTTTCTTTCTCTCCCACCAGGTCTGTAAGTCTGGCAAGACACATTTGGTGAGTACTTTTGTTTGGTCATCCCTTGCAGGACATTTTCTAAACGACCCAGAGCATGAACAGCTGAACCTTGAAGGCAGCTGCATTCTTTACACTCTTGACTGTAGAACTGTTTCCTGTAACCTGGGAATAGAGGAGACACTTCTAAAATCATACCCGGAACTGTCTACACCAAGAGCATAGACTGAACTGTCACACTAAAATCCCACCTCCCAGCTGTTTGTCTAAGGTTTGAAGAGACAATGGTTTAACTCTGTATAGAAATTAAATCCTAATGCAGTGGTGGCACACACCTTTAATCCCAGCACTCGGGAGGCAGAGGCAGGCAGATCTCTGTGAGTTCCAGGCCAGCCTGGTCTACAAAGCTACAAAGAGAAACCCTGTCTTGAACGGCCCAAAGCACACACTGTGCATGCGTAATGAAAGAAATTAGGCTCTAATTAACTGCTACAATGTAAACTCTACTCACAGCAGAAGCCCAAGGAAGCCCTTCCTATTGTACTTTTCCCTGGAAAGGAACATCCTCAGGCATGTGTCAGAACCACTCATGTGGGTTGCTGGTCCCATTAGAACTTAGGTCCCACAAAGTGATAGCTCTGCAGCCACATCTCATGCAGGAGGTGTCACCCATGCTTTGAAAACAATCACCAAGTGTTTCCTGTTAGCCAAGAGAGCTTTGCATGGTATCCAGCTGAGATAAAAGCAAAGGTCTGTCTCCTACTGGGGTACCACAGACTCTTAACCCTCCTCCATGTTGTTAGGAATCTTGTTGGAAGATTGTCTCAATTCTGACTATGGCCTCTTTTCAGAGCCTGCCATTTGAAGCAAGGTTAAATGCCTCCATGGGCCTTGGACGAACCGTTGTCATTAAAGGAGAAGTGAATACAAATGCCAAAGGGTCAGTATGGCTGCTTCGCCATTGCCTTATGGACTTGGGGTATGTTGGTGGAGCTGGTGTGCTTTCCTGAAAGGAGGGACCAGAGTGGTATAAGGTCCCACTAAAGAGTTGTTGGTAGAGTCAGAACTAGGGACAGTGTCTGCCTGGGGTCCCTTTTAGTCAGGTATGTGGGATTTTTGTTCACGAGGCTCCTCTTGCCTAGGGTATACTCACTGTACGAAACTTGGGGTCACATATCCTAAGCCAAGTTCAGCTATCCATCCTCAAGGAGCCAATGAAAAGAGCCAAATTAATAGTGGAAAATAGAAAAGGAGTTATTCAATGCAGAAAGAGGATTTACTCAATGTGGCCACATGGGGAAGAGCAAGAGGACCAGTGACCCCTAGAGTGCATCTGTGGGGTCCTGTGGCACAGTTAGTTTAAATAGAGGGCCAAGGACCTGTACATCTCAGCAGTCCTAGTCAAGGTGTGGTCCCACCACCACTGGCCCATTATTGTTGAGGCTTCAGTCTCGTCCCGTTAACAAGTTGCAAATATTTTTTCCAGGCAACAAGTCCCCACTCTTATTAGTGCTATTTCCCTCTCCTAGCTTGAGGTTCCTGGGAAATCCCCATTTCCTGGGTTCATTATTTCAACAGTCTGGTAGCTGAGGAACACAAGTCCCTCTTTATAATACCTTCATTTTGCCAGGACAGTCACCCCAGGTCACACCCAGATGAAGGTTCTCTTCTGTGATACACAATAGTCTACTTTAAGAATCTTCTCTGGGTCGGGCCTAATCCCAGGATGTGGGAGGCAGACAGGAGGATCCCAGGAGGGACTCTTTATCAAAATAAGGTAGAAGGGTTAGAGATGGCTGTGATTAAAAAGTTGTGCAGCTTTTGCAGAGGTCAGTTTCCAGCACCAATGCCAAGCAGCTCACAGCTTCCACTAACTCCTGCTCCAGGGCATCTGGTGCCCTCTTTTGGCCTTCACAGGTACTGGTATTATGTACATGCACGTAGCCATGCATGTATGCATAATTAAAAATAATAAAATTAATTCTTAAAAATGAGTGAGTTAGAAAGCAGTATTGTAAGATACCCAGTGTCAACCTCTGGCTTGTGTGCACACCCACCCCCACGTATTACACAGACACACACTCACACTTTTTTCTAAGATGTCCACATTCTTGAATGCTTTTGAAATGAGATCTATTTCTTAGGTAGTAGCATGCTTTCAAAAAGGGAACATGTAGAATTGATCGTGAATGCCTGCATTGAGGGACCCTGAGTCCTGCAACCTGAAGTACTTGTTTACTTGTTCTTGGTTTCAGCACTGATCCTAGTCTCATGTTGCAAATGAGTCAGTGGCATGCAAATTCAGAGTTAGAAGCCCATTCCCAATGTTCCCATGTGCAGGGTTTGTAGTTACAACTGCAGTTCCAGTCTAAGTTCTTTTTTTCTGTCTTTTACAGCTTTAACGTTGACCTAGTGGCAGGAAAATCAAGGGATATCGCTCTACACTTGAACCCACGTCTGAACATGAAAGCATTTGTAAGAAATTCCTTTCTTCAGGATGCCTGGGGAGAAGAGGAGAAAAATATCACCTGCTTCCCATTTAGCCCTGGAATGTACTTTGAGGTGAGATTATGGTTTTTGTTTTGCTTTGTTTTGAAATGGGGCAGGAAAAAAAGAATCCTGAGAACATAGTAAAAAAATAACTTTCATTTAAATCAAACCCAATCCTCTATATAGGGATTGTGTTCAGCCACTGTGGAGGGAGTAATATGAACACAGGCCATTGGTGTAAACAGCAGGGCTAGTACACTTGACATCCCAGAATACTTGACATTTGTCATATTGACAATATCTGTGTAACCCCAAGTTCCTGAACGTTGTCTCAGGACCAAAAATACAGATCTATTCTTTTTTGCCTGAGTGCATGTGCTTGTGTAGGTGTATACACGTGTGTGCACTCGTGTATGTGTGTGCACGCGCGTGTGTACACACACACACAGTTGCTGTTAGGTTTATGTCAGGCCTCTTTCTGTAGCTCTCCCCATTTTTGAGACACATCTCTTTCCGAGCCTGGAGCTCACTGATTGGCTAGGTTAGCAAACAAGCCTTAGGATCTACATCTCTGCATCCCAGCACTGGGAATAACAGTACATGCCACCACACCCAGAGATTCACTTAACTCATGTCCTATGCGAAACACTTTATTTACTGAGTCATCTCCCCAGCCCCACTTGTAAGTAGCTACATGAGAACCCTAAAATTGTGTGCTTGTACTATCCATGGCCTCCACAGTTCCAGATGGCAGTATTTCTTTCTAAAAGCTGGTCCTGTTGTAAGTAAAGACTTGTACATAAGTTCCCAGTATGCATTATGTTAATACATGGCTTTTCCCAAAGCCACCTTTTCTGGGGCGCTTTCTGATTGGAGAGTGATGTCTCCTTGAAATATAGATGCCAGGTGTCTGGTCACTGGCTTAAGTGACCACCTCTCATGGTCCCTCAGGATCATTAGTTTAGGTCATGCTTTACATTTTAGACTTACATGTTGAAACTATTAGAATTATCAGGGACTCATACAGCTGGTTGTTGAAGCACAAATGCCAGGCTGACCAGAATATGTCAACTGGATAGTCATAGTATTTCCAAGTTCTGGGATAAGGAAGCACTCTAGAGCTTGGAGGGTGGGTAGATGTGAACTAGACATGGCAGGTTCCATGAAGTTGTGGGTATTGGCTGTGAATTCAGAAGGCTGAGCAAGATCTGGAAAGTTTAGGGTACTTTGAACAAGTCACTAGAAGAGGGAGGTGTATGTGGCTCAGAGTTTGTGTTTGGCAGGTCCCAAGGGATATGGGGTGCCCTGGGTGGGGACCTCTAAAAGGAAGCTGGTCCTTGTGTCTGAGAGGAAAACAGTGGTTTAACTTGATCCCAATCTATGATGCTAAAATAATGCTGAAAAACAGAAAAATGAAAATTAAAATATTTAACTCCAATTTGACTTATAATTTAGAGGATATTAAGACTAGATGAAGCAGGGGCTGGAGAGATGGCTCTGTGGTTAAGAGTGTGTACTGCTCCTGCTGAACACCTAAATTCAGTTTCCAGTCAGCACCCACACTGGGTGGTTCACCTGTAACTCTAGCTCTGTGGAAATACCTTTGGCCACAGTGGCACATACCCCACAAATAATTAAAACTTTTTACTTGGGTCTTAGGATCCAAACTCAAGTCCTCACACTCACTTGAACAGCAAGTGCGCTTATCCGCTGAGCTATCTCTCCAGCCTCACTCTTTAAAAACGATGCTGGACGTCACAGGCAAGCACACCGAGTCACTAAGCTGCCACCCCTAGTTCTGTTTTAAAATCTCATTCAGTATCTGATTGCACTGATGCACTGTTCAAATACAAAATAGCTTATGTAACACTGAGATTACAAAGCATCAACTTCACTATATTGGATGCTGTTTGGCCTGGCCACACAGTCTGACTACCTCTGAAGGGCTAAGGCCAGAGCAAGCAGAATTTGAGCCAGAAAATTGTCTTTTCCCAGCTGTTCCGAGGTCACTGGTGGGGCGGGCGGGGCGGGGGTGCTTCTCTGCTGTTTCTCTTCCTCTTCTGGGAGACACGTGCAGGTCATTTGCCTTCTTCCTGTTTTTGTTTTCTTGCAGTGTTTTCACTTGTTGCTTTTACATTTATTTGATACAGCAGGGGAACTTGCTAGGATTGCATCTGGCTTCTTGCCCTGCATCTCTACCCCTTTTCTATTGAGCCATACAAGAGGAGATTGTATTATGATTTAAGATTAAATATATGGCACACAAGATCCCTTCCAGCTAGCTGAACTTGGGATTTCCCCCATTCTTGGGGAGATAGCTCAAGTAATAGGTAATTCCCCAGTACCCTGTGTAGCACTACTTCGGTTTAGTTTAGTCAATTATGTTACGTGCTTACTTGCCCCTTGTCCTGACTTCCTGTGGTAGGTTTTCCCATAGCTACCATCTATAGAACCATAACAAGGTTCTTTGCAGATTCATGTTTGATACTCTAGTCTTACCTCTTTGAATTCAGCCAGTCCAAAGCCAGGCTGTGCTGACTTCTAAAGTCACAGCACAGTGAAGAGTCACCAAACTGGCCTTTTCAGAGTGGCCACTTGGTATAGTTAGTGACCCTCCTGGCCTTAAGAGTGTGGCAGTGAAGTGCAGGTGTTTAGGCACTGTAACAGGGTACTGGCTTTGGATATTAGGTTTACTGCTAGGAAAGTGATCGGAAGGATGGGCAGTAGGGATGCATCTGCCAAAATGCCAATAGCTGCAGAGCCTGGAAACTTGACCCTGACAAGCTTTTTGGAAACAGGTAGAGAGGCCAGTATGTTCTGAGCGAGGACAGAGTTAGGATTACTGAATAACTAACTGCTCTCCTTACCGAGTGTCCTGAGCTGTTGGAACATCATCAGTTGACATGGCCAAGACCCTAGCACTGAGGTAGGATAGTCAGGCTCGGTTTCTCAGGGAATGGGTGGGAGACAGTCATCAGCAGCTTTCTGTTAATTCTCAAATACCGCAAGGAGAGACACTTCCCAGCCTTCTAAAAGTCGAGAACAGAAGGGGGGAGAGGGAGGAGGACTCCTGGATGAGAAGGTACCTGGTGAGACACAGTGGACTGAAGGAGATGCCACACAATACATTGGGGATTTGGGTTGCCTTGCCTGTGAAGTCACTCAGAAGGGAAGTCAATGATAGAAGTCTGGGGGAAACATCTCCAAGCAAGCCAAATGGCTTTCCTTTTGACCCTCTGTTAGTATAAAAGAAACAAAATTTAAAACGAAGGGCAGCTATTGATGGTATATCTCCTTCTTTTTCAGATGATAATTTACTGTGATGTCCGAGAATTCAAGGTTGCGGTAAATGGTGTGCATAGCCTGGAGTACAAACACAGATTTAAAGAGCTAAGCAGTATTGATACATTAGCAGTTGATGGTGATATCCGTTTGCTGGATGTAAGGAGCTGGTAGCTACCATGGCTGCCAAAACCCTAAAATACAAATGGCTCATGTGATACTGGCCATGTCAAATGCATCTGGCTTTTACCACATTGTTTATGTTGTTAAGTTGAGCTCATACAACATCAATGTTCTACCTGGTATTCTCAGGTCTGGCCACACAGTGTGGCTATGTCTATGTTCAGAGGAACAAATCTGGGACAATCTCAACTTACCGCTGGTGAGGCTCTGCACATGAGTCCCCTCTTGTAAAATCACAGTCAACAAATATTTAAGTGCTTACTTTAATATACTAGTTAATTGGTAGGGAAGGCATATTTCCTGTGTATGTTCTCTGAGCTGGGCATAGACACAGAGGTGCCCAGAACCAGTGTGGACCCCGTTTTCTGGTACTCAAGATCTCCCATTGTAGGGTCTTTCTGCTGACATTGCATTAACCACATTAGGGGGCATGTGTAGTTAGGTCAGAAAAATATACTAATGGATAGAAAACATTACTTCCCCAGTAATCCTTTTCATAATCAACATCCTACCATATAAGACTACCAAATAACCCTTATTTAGCTGTTGTTGCTTTAAGCTTTATAAAATAATTAATATGCTGAACATGGCAGAAAAACTGAGGCAAAAAAAAAAAAAAAAAAAAAAAAAAATCTGAATTGGCACTAAAGTCTGTGTGTGCCTGTGGCAAAGTGTAGGAAGGAATGGATAAATGTAGTTTGTTAAACCTTCTTGGGTAACTGACATCAAAATGAGTCTTAGTGAATGTGTACAACAGGCACTATCAAAGCAAAACCTACACTGGAGGGTAATGTTGAGTTGGTGTGTAAACCAGCCCTTGCCCCTTTGGGTCTGAAGACATGTCTACATCAGCTGTGAGGTCAGGCACTGCTCTGTCTGCTAAGTCAACTTGCATCAGCAAATTCAACTGCCACACACCTGTAACTTCTACTATTTGACTGGACCTGGGAGAAGCCCTACATAAAGTCTTTAAAGTTCTGATCTTGTTACAGATTTCAAAGTTATGGTGTGAAGAGGAGAAGAGCTAGTTTCATCAGGTCATTTTATTATTAAGCCACAGGATGGAATTCTGTCAGGGCTGAGGAGTGTTCACAGCCAATTCTCCCAGACAGATGTATTCATACATGGGAAATAATATTGTCATCATTTCTTTCTTTTTTAGGAAGGGCTCAATGCAGCAACTGCTAGTCCTTCATTCTTTTCATGGAAATTCAGTATGCTGACTATTGAAAACCTCAAGTTATGACGGGGAGGGGATAGAGCCAAATAATCAGTGGAAAGCCCAGGAGGCTCTAGATATGGGTTGGTGGGTATAACTGGGCAATCCGTGGGGAACCCAGGAGGCTCTAGAACCTCCCAGTTCTGAAAAGCACTCGGGGGAAAAATAAAACCCATTCATAGAAAAGCTTATTTTCATTTCTGTTTTACACAAAGCTATTAGGACTGATTCTGAATAGAATCAATCTTAATTCCCAGATTCTGGTCTTTAAAAAAAAAGCTGCTGGAATTTAATTTAAGTTTCATTGTATAATTCTAAGTTTTATCTCTAAAGTGCAAAATGATATTTTTTGTTTATCATAATTCTACATTAAAATTTTATATTAAATTAAAATGAATACTCTATAGAATAGTTCATCCATGCTGTAGGTCCTGAAGGCAAACTGGTTTAATTCTATTTGAACTCTCATTTTCAGCCTCACTGTAACAATACTAGATAGAGAACTACAAAACTGTTGATGACATTGCTATCCTTCCTGAGAGCTGTTAGTTAGGTGTGGGCTATTTCCTAAACAGCATATTTTATCTCCCTACAAACACAAAAGATGAACAGTGGAGACAAGCACAGCCCCGAGTCAAATTGCATCTTCACCAAAAATTTCTTTTTGAATGAATGTTGTGGCATGATGCCATTTTCTCCACCCAGACCGCTACTGTGGGTGGTAGTACTTACAACACGTATACCACACACGAGGCACTGCAAGGGACAGCGAGATCCCGTGCTTCAGAGAAGTACTAGATCTCAGTACTGAAATTAAACACACCTATCTCACCCGGAACACCAGCCAGGACAAAGACAAATATCAAATAGTTCATATAAAACACCATCCCATTTACTCCTTAGTAACTCTGTACAAAAGGCAGGAGAGGCTTCTGTGGGAACCTATACAGGCAGGGATTTTGTAAAAACATTAAATATTGGCAGATGTGAAAGTACCAAAAGTAATATGGCACCACACCCCCCACATAAGAACAAGAGGGTGGACTCTGTAACAGAGCACAAGGGCGCAGGTTCGAGTCTGCTTCAGAAGTAGCTCTGCAGCGGCTCCCCCAGCACGGTCTCCAGTTGCTGGATGGTCTTCTGGCACTGATGCTCCACCTCTTCACATTCATCTAACACACAAAACCCAGAATTATGAGTGGGCCTGCAGCCATCCTGCCTAACAGACCATTCCACTGGGCACAGAAGCACTGACCCCCACTCCTCCACAGGCATGTTCTTGTTGGCTGCCAAAGAGGATCAAGTCACAAGAAAGGGGCCACATTCAAATCCAAGCCCTAGAGCTCTTGTTAGACACCAGATGCACGGGCAGTGAGACACAAAATTACCTCTCCTTCCTCCATCCCCAATTAATATGAAAGGCATTAGGAGGGATGAGGAGGAGGCATGTCAGTGAAGAGGTGTTCCTGTTAAAGAAGCCCCACCTGCCACTTAGTGCAGTCAACGTCTTTAGCTTTCTGAGTTTCTAGTTTCTTAGAGGGGCAGTGTGAATCTACTGTAAGATTATGTCAGTACCTAACACCGAGTACTAATAAGTACAGCTTGTCATTCTAGTGGACAACTGATTATGATGTAATGGCACAAATATTCATGTAAATATTTGAAGTTATTTCATAAATAATACCATGGCCCACATGAGCAGTACAAACACAGGGCTAGACACCAGTCATGTACTGCAGGCTGCTCTCAGTGACGGTGAGGTGACAGCTTCCTGACTTGTGCTGTGTCAGGGAGCCTGTAGCCACAGGATTTTGCATCACTGTTTATTGGCCTCAGACTTACCTTCCATCAATTCTGCTAGAAAAGGAATGGACTCTGGAAGCAGAACAATGTAATTCTCTCTCAGCTTTTCAGCCACTGCTAGGACAGTAATCAAGGCTGCAAACCGGACCTGGAAGGAATAGGCATCAAGAATGAGGCCGTTTCAACTGTCCTTTGCTGATGTCCATTGCCGTAAGACCTGACCGACACTGAGGACTGCTTTACCTCCTCACTGTGATCGCTCAGTGTGCAACACACACACACACACACACACACACACTTCATGTGCCCATTTGAGAGCTATTTAGAATATGGGTAATCGGCTTCTTAGTGCTTTCAAACTGTGTTCTAGTACTGCAGCACTTTAAAATGTGAAAACCTTCACAACAAACAAAAACAAAAAGCAAAAGCCAGTAAGATAGCTTAGTAGGTGGCCCAAGTTCAGTTCTTAGGACCACACAATGAGGGAAGGAGAGAAAGGACTCTTGCAAGTTGGCCTCTGACCTCCACACATGTAACACATGCAAATTTAAGGAAGTCATAAATGTAACTAAACTGGGGGTAGTTTGTTGGGTTGCCAGAGATGGTACCAACCTGGTGATGGGAGACCTTGGCCCTCTGTAGCAGTGCCTGTATGTCAAGAGACCCACTTGGCTAGTCTCATTTCAGCACTGAATAAAAGTTTGGGTGTTCTCTCCACATACCTTGATTATCATGAGCAATGCAAGTTAACTATGAGGTATCGACAGCAGACTACTGAAATAAAACAGTCCCTTTTCTAGTTTGAAATAATTTTCCTAATTATATTTGATCAAGATTTTCTTAATATGTAATCAAAATAAAATACTAAAATAAATTTGTTTCTACAACTGTGTAAGAACTCCTAATAAACGTAATAAAATTCTGCTTGGGCTGTTTCCCAGTGAGATTGTCATAAGAAAGTTTGTGAGATGGTGATTTATTAATAAAACTGCTAGAAAATTCCAGGTAAGGAATGTGAACTTCACCCAGTGTACTATGGCACTTACTTCTGCTCTAAGTAAAGAGTATTTATTTATCTCAGGGCACAGTTGACATTAAAAAAAGGAATAATTTGGAATTTTCTTTTTTTAAAGATTTATCTATCACATATACAGTGTACTTCATGCAGGTATTCCTATTATAGATGGTGTGAGCCACAATATAATTGCTGAGGATTGAATGCAGGACTTCTTGAAGAGCAGGCACCACTCTTAAGCCCTGAATCATCTCTCCAACCCCTGGAGTTTTTACTACTTAAGACTCAGAGGTATTAAGAAACGATTTTAATGCTTATGCCTACCATGCCTAGGGGTTTGGGAAACTCAGCTATTTATAAAGAACCTGCAGAAGAAACACAGAATTCTTTATTGTATATGTGGGTATATGAATTTGTGTGTGGTAGGTGCCATATACACTGTGTGCACGTGCACCTGAAGGCCAGAGGCCAATTTCAAGTGTTTCTCAGGAGCCACCACCTTAATGTTTTCGGGCAAGTCTCTTATTTTTACATGGAACTCGAGATACACGCCAGCATGCTGGCTTTTTATGTAGGTTCTAGAGATCAAACTTGAGTCATGTGCTTGCATAACAAGCACTTCATCAACTAAGCTATCTTCCCAGCCCAAGAATTCTTTAAAGGTTAGAATTCTCTATTATACAGTAGCTCAGACCTCTAGTAACGAGCCTAGGGCCAGGCTCTCCCTATCAGTGCCCTATAGGTGGGCATTCAGGCCACACCCATGGGATGCAGCTTCAGCTTCAGAGACTGTGACCCATGTCCTCACCTTAGGGGAGGAGTCTCTTGTCTTCAGCAGAATCTGGTAGTTCAGTGGTTTCCACATGGAGTCGTCTGCCACAGCCACAGAGAACTGTGCAATGCAGGGTACTAGGTGCTTGGTCACCCGTTCCTGGAACCGCTCTTCTCCTCCAAGCCTATTTTCCAGCTGGGAAGAAAGACACATGGTGTCAGCAACAGGCCACATTTTTGTTGTGCCTGAACACACCCTTGGTGTGTGTTTTACCACCTTTCATAATATTAGCAGGCTCAAAAGTAGGTTCCCCCACCCTAGCCTTGTCTCTATGGCCAATTTCTTCCCTCTGGAGCTCAAATAGCTAAAAAAGGCCTTAGCAGCAAGCTCTCCCTCTGGAAGACTTGGGAAGCGGTACTTTCCTGTGAGGGCATCCATGCCCAGCGAGTCTCAGTTGACAGTCAACACCTTTTCAATGGGAAACACAATGAAATCCCATTTCTTTCCTTTTGAAAAATTCCCAAATAAAACTCAATGAATACCACAATGAAGACAAGTCATACCATGAAAAATCCATTTTTGAATAATATTTTCATAACGGATCTCTCCCCTAAAAAAACACCTTATAAAAAAAAAAAAAAAAGCCTTGCAAGCTAACATGCAGCATGTATAGAACTGCCAAGAATGGTCCAGGCAGCCTCAGTGACCAAAGACTATCCAGTAGGTTACCTGATCCACCAGAGGCATCATCAAAGCTTCTGCTCTCTCTTTACTCATAAAATTCTGGGT